TCCTTGGGTTTTGGGCCAGTGAGAGTAGGGGTTGCGGCTTCTTGGCCTGGGACCTGGGATGCCCGGGTGGTTCGAGAGTGCAGGACACCTCGACATTTATCTGCAAGGCCGATCCTCAAAATCCCAGTTACTGGTCGGGAAGACAGTGTGCTTCGGTGGAAGAGAGAAGTGCACCAGCAGAATGTATTGATAGGCGTTGCTTAAAAGCCCTCACCCATCAAAAGATGGAAGCGACCCTTAGGGGATTGAAGTTTCGGGTCTATTGCGGAGTGATGGCGTGTGTCCTCAAGTTAGTATGTCGAAGCAAGAACTAACACCAGGCAGACTTCGCGCAGCAGATGATGAACATGGGCTTCATGGCCACTTGCATGCATCAAGGGTCGGCTTGGATCTTGCGAGCGATAGCAGGACAATCCTGCAAGCAGATTATCAGATGGCTGCGGCCACAGCTTGTGGGCCGTTGTAGCCTGTCTCAAGTTGCAGAGCTTTTCCGAAATACGTCAGGCTAGGTTCCGATTTGTGGGTCAGTGGGGTGGGTCCAAGATGTTGTGGATCTTGACAGATCCCGGGGGCAGGACTGCATGGATGAAGTCTTGCAAACCGAGCTATGGAAGAACGCGAGCACTTCTCGTGGTTGTTGTTTAGAGTTTGGGCTTCGTGTTTTCGTGGGCACTTGGATTCTGGATGCTTCGAATCTGCGAGTTTAGTGCGGCAAGTTTGAGTTGCTCAAGTTCGAAATCAGGTTTCCCGGACTGTGCGCAAGAGCACAGGCCGCTACATGACTAGATTTGAGTATTCAGCGATGCACGTTGCTTGCTTCGTGGCCCTGATCTTCGGAGTCCCAGTCGAGAGTGCTCGACCTGCTCTTCAACAGCAGATGTCGACGGGAGGCAGTCTTGGATACGATGATGTTTGTTGCTGCAAGCGGCACAAAGAGGTGGGGAGCACGCTCCGAAAAACCGGGACACACGGAGGACATGCACCTAGTAGATTGCCGGACGTTGAAGCAAATGCGGCCGGACAGGCCCTTCTGGTGGCACCGGGGAACCTTAGTTCCCCAATACCCAACCTTTAAACCTTTCTGGGTTCTTATAGTTTAGTCGTAATCTGAAAGTTCAACCTTGTATTTCAATGGCTTGTTGGGGAAGTAAGGAGCAGAGCGGGGGTCCGAGAAACGATGCTGCTGGACGAGCTCGTGGAACTGCCTGCCTACCATCGGCTTTCTCTCGCTGAACGAAGATGGCGGAAGACGGATCGATGACAAAGACCGCGAGGGCCTTTGCCAGATGGCTACAACCCCCTATGGAGACGTGGAGCCAGTCGACAAGACCTTTGCTTATAACGAGATTATGCAGTCCCTTTACAGCGACATCGGTGATATGGTTGTAAGCAAACTATGTGGGATGGCATCGGGCGTTGCAGCCGCACACGGCCCAGGGCATGTTGGACAATGTGCTCAGACTCATAGGCAAGTAGGCAAATTCTAGCGAGCCGGCCAAGTTGCGATGGGAAAGGCTTTTGAAGGCGCTATGGGCCAGCATCTAGCGTCCACTGCATCCACCAGGCACCCGATAATGCCTCCCACGGAATGGTTTCGCTACGGTGGTGACAGACCCTTCGAGGTTGCAAAATCAGTGCAGGTGTTTAACGGGAAGAAATTCCCAAACATGAGGTATTGGTTCCACCCCGAGCTTCAAGAAGATGGACACTCGGTGATCGTCTTCCAGGATCCCGACACCTACGTGCCGCCGGATAAACGGACAAGGGCTCCGGTGAGTACTTCCGGGCACGGTTTCTGTGGGCAGGATAACTTTGAGAAGGTCTGTGTTCAGACGACTGAAGCCGGCGAGATCGAATCCTTGACGGTCAGTGTTGATCTGAACAAGGAGCTGGATGTGACAGCCGAGGTCCCACTCTAGCCACATGACTCGCCATACAACGGCTGACAGAAAACATGCGTCCTTCATGGTCAGACTTGTAGGTTAGCCGTGCACCTGATGCGGCAGTCTAACCACTGGAAGACACAGACCATGACATGCTACAACAATCCAGTGCGGCCTTCAACAAACTCCAGCAAGGATTGAAAAGACTTCATGGGAACCTTAGTCTCAGAATCTTCTAATTTTATCTTCTGTGACTCTGAGCACCAAGTCTACCAGCAACAAGAAGCACACTAGGAGGCGGACTCAGAGGAGAAGCGTTTGTAAGATGTTATTAGCCACGAAGCCCTGCACACCTCGAAGAGCCTCGAAGTACATTCTGGATTCTTCAGACAATGAAGCCACACTTTCCGAAGTCCCGAATCCAAAGGCTCTATGCGTCAAAAGGCCCTCATCCACCGAAAGCCTTGTCCTCAACCCCGCCCTGAAAAAGTCACGAAGCCCTCAAAATCCACCCCTTCCCCCCCTGAACGCTATGCAAACAAAAACCCTAAACGCAATGCAAAAAACAGACCTAAACCCGATGCAACAAGAACCCTAGACCCAACGCAAACAAAAACCCTACGCCCTAAGCCCTATGCAAAAAGAGCCTAAAACCCAATGCAAATAAAAAGGAATCCTCAACCCAAACTTTTTTAAAAAGAGAGCAGCAGCAACGGCCCGTCGAAGCCCAAGAGGCACCTCCGGGGCCTCCACCGAAGGGCCCTCCGGCGGAGGAGACTCTGGAAATTAGGGGGATCTGGGTTTAGGGTTTAGGGTTTAGGGTTTAGGGTTTAGGATTAGGGGGGCCCTTGGGGATACTTTACAGGATTCGTGGCTTTGGGGCGTTAGGAGAAGGTGGAGGGGTGGAGGGCTTCGGGCTTAGGAGGTTGAGGGTTACCGGTTTAGGGGTTTAGGGTTTAGGGTTTAGGGTTTAGGGTAGTAAAGGGGNNGGGTTGGGGGGTTTAGGGGTGTAGGATGGTATGGGGTTTGTAGGGCTTTCAGGTTTAAGTTCGTCAGGGTATGGGTTTTTCGGGCTGGGAGTGGGGCGCAGAGGGTCGTATACAGATCTCTGGATCAATCTTTAGGGTTCAGGGTTTAGGGTTGAGGGTTTAGGGTTCAGAGTTTAGGGTTTAGGGTTCAGGGTTCAGGGTTTAGGGTTTAGGTTTCAGGGTTTAGGGTTTAGGGTTTAAGGTGGACGGCAGAAGGAC